TTCCTCCCATGACTGTCCAGCACCTGGTTACTGTCGTCCCTGACTGCCTTCCCTCTGCTCTGAACTGGACCGTGGTCCATGCATGTGCCCCTTCCCCTGGCTGTCCTGCTGCCAGCCACACTCAGGCACTGACAGGTAGCTCCCCTCACATCTTGTTACCTTTGCACAACATGAAACCTTGGTCCTATGTTGATACTGCCGGTGTTTCCAGAAAAGGAAAAGGCAGTGTTCCCACAGGGGTCAGTCACTAGAGTTGGTCACCGAGGGAGGCTGTGGGCAGCAGGAGCAAGAGGAGCTGACATCAGGGTCTGAGACCCCCCCCACGATTAAAGCAGAGGAATGAGCAAGCCAGGAAGGGCCCTCGGCCACCCCCTGCCCCCTGACACACACACACACACACACACACACACACACACACACACACACACACACGCACATGCACACACTGCCCTCAGTCTTTGCCTTGACCCTTAAGCATTTCCAGGACCAACGTCATGAGGGGTTGAGTGGTACCAATGTGGGCGGTGGCCTCTCCTTCTTCCGGTTTTCATTTTTGGTTCTTAAAAACTTCATTCCAAATGAAGGAAATGAAACTACTGAAGAATCTTCCCCCGCAGCCAGCTGACACGGGCAAGAGAGCAATTCCCAGTTAAGGCCCGAAAGGAAACCCCCTCCCTATCATGTGCTGAGGCCAGGAGAAGAGGGGAAGGACCAACTCACTGACGGCCAGGCCTGGCCACCAAGGTGACGGGCAGGCTGCAAGGGCTGCCCTGGCTGTGGCAACACCAGAGACAAGAGCAAGAGGACCACGATCTTGCCCGCGGGGAGCTGCCAGTCCTGCTTCCCTACCGCCCCGTCGCTGTGTGCAGTGCCCGGTGCTCTGCTTTCTCAAGGCCCGTGTGGCGGAGGGAAGCCCCTGTTTCTCCTGCTGAATCCGTGGCATCCTCTGCCCCAGTTGGACGTGTCTCCCTTCATCGTCTCTGCTGTCAGCCCCCCAACCCCTGGCCCCAAACAGTGTCTGGTTATCATCTGGGAAAGCAGCAGGGTGGGAGGGCAGAAGCCAAAGTTCCCTTTAATCTCTTTGGGAGACTGGCAAGTCCCTCAAGTGACAAACCAATATGAAGCCTAGTTTAAGAAAGAAAAAAAAGGCTCACGCCTGTAATCTTAGCTCTCTGGGAGGCCGAGGCGGGCGGATCGTTTGAGCTCAGGAGTTCGAAACCAGCCTGAGCAAGAGCGAGACCCTGTCTCTACTAAAAATAGAAAGAAATTAATCGGACAACTAAAAATATATAGAAAAAATTAGCCGGGCATGGTGGCGCATGCCTGTAGTCCCAGCTACTCGGGAGGCTGAGGCAGAAGGATCGCTTGAGCCCAGGAGTGTGAGATTGCTGTGAGCTAGGCTGACGCCACGGCACTCACTCTAGCCAGGGCAACAGAGTGAGACTCTGTCTCAAAAAAAAAAAAAAAAAAGAAAGAAAGAAAAAAAAATCCCAAACCCTCAGAGGGCAATAGCTAGAGAATTACAGACATGATAGGTTTATTGCCTTCATTTCTTCTTTTTCTCTCTTCCTTCCTTTCCTCCTTCCTTCTTTGAGCAAATATTTACCGAGCCCCTACATGTGCATTCGACCGTATATTTTTTGGAATAACACATGACCCCTGCCCTCAAAGGTTTGTAGTGTAATGGGGGAAATAAGACAGAAATCCAAAAAATTAAATCACGACAAGAGATGTCATGAGGCCAGTGGCTGCCGTGGACACTGGTACTGTGTGTTCAGAGGAAGAGGTGGCAGGCGCAGTGGGGAAGGCTTCCCGGAGGACGCGGAGCCCAAGCCGTGCCTTTGGGATGGGGAGAGCTGAGGCGGGCAGAGGAGAGGCCATTCCAAGCAAGGAAATTCTCTGACAGAGTACAGAGTTGGGGAGCATTTGTTCTGTGTTTAGGGAAATAGTGAGCCATCCAGACTGGGTGAAACCCCCTCAAAGACCATGTGTTGACGTGTGGGTGGTAATCATGAGGAGAGGCTGGAGGCAAGCTGGACTTTCTCTTCTGGATGGAAACTGCCTGCTTTCTTGCTTTCACCTCAGATCTCTCAGAGATCCGGGTGTGCTGCTTGACACTAAACTTGCTTTATTACTGTTGAGCAGGGAGCAGGTACGAACACCACCATACATGGAGCAGACGCAAAGAAAGAAGTGCCCACCGGGTGTGGTGGCTCACGTGTATAATCCCAGTGTTTTAGGAGGTCGAGGCAGGAGAATTGCTTGAGCCCAGGAGTTTGAGATCAGCCTGGGCAACATAGTGAGATTCCCATCTCTACGAAAAAATTTAAAAATAGCTGGGCATGGTGGTGCACACCTGTAGTCCTAGCTATTCAGGAGGCTGAGGTGAGAGGATCACTTGAGCCCAGGAGTTTGATGTGGCAGTGAGCTATGCTAATGCCACCGCACTCCAGCCAGGAGGATGGAGCCAGACCCTGTCTCTAAAAAAAAAAGAAAGAGGCACATAGTCTCTGAGACTCTCACCGTTGGGTAGCGGGGTGTGGTTGGTCAGGACAGGTGGGGCTGGATCCACCACGGGTTGTGTTTGAAAGGGAGTACTTTAGTCCTCTCTGCCTTGAACAGCATAGTTGGGAGGGAGCACAGAGCATCCAACCACGTTGGAGAATCCTGAGCTGTTTGGTCAGACTTAGAGCCTTGCTGGTGTGAGGAATGCTGTTTTCAGCTGCTAATCTGCATTGGTTTCAGCTGGAAGTTTTAGGGTACCACCTGCTGAACCAGCTTGCTGCTAGACTAGAGGACATTGGCCAAGAACTGGTTTGTTGGCCATCAAGACCATTGGTTTACTAAATTTTTTTGAGGTATAGCAGCTTCCTTTCTCAAAATAAATCCTATAGAGAACCCCAATGTGTAAAACATTTAAAAGTGGAAATTCTTGGGATGAGGAGGGGAGGGAATGCCTGGAGTCCCACCCAGCCAGTCCTCAGGCATCCAGTCCTCAGTGAGGAACCCCCGAACCTACTGGACCTGGTTTTAAACTACTGATCCAGTTAAGGGATGCTAGGGCCAGCCATTAAAGGGCTTTATACAGGGAGTGAGACAATCCAACATACATTTTAGAAAGATGCCTGTGGCTGCTAGGTGGAGTCTACATTGGAGAGGGACAAGATTAGGGAGAGGGAGCCAGCTTAAGGAGGCTATTAAAATGGTCCAGATGTGAATTGATGAGGTCTAGACCCAAGGCACCGGCCCAAGGACGAAGAGTAAGGTTGGATTCAAGAAACATTTCCAAGCTAGAGTCAGCAGGAATTGGTGATAGTTGGGTGTGAAGGGTGGAGTCTATGAGGGCTGGACTGCCTGGGTTGAAGCATGCCATAAATGGTGACAGCCACACAGGGAGGGAGATCAGATGCGACAAAGGAGTTCAGTTTGGGATGCATTGTGTTACGGCAACTCTGGGTCATCTAGGAGTTGATTGACTAGCAGAGAGTTAAAAAAATACAAGTCTGGATCTTCTCTCAGAAGAGACTGTTGGAACTAGAGATTAAAATTTGGGAGATATCAACATATTGGTAGACATGGAAGACATGGAGTAGAGAATGTGCATATAGTGAGAAGAAAAAGGACTGAATCAGAAACTTTGGTTTGTAACAATTTGATCTTTATTCAGTTTTTTTTCATTAGTTTCATTGTTATTACATGTGAATACTTCAGAGAGCAGCCGCAATTTGCTGGATGTTTGGACCAGAAAGGACCTTCTGTTCTCACACGGCAGATATGTCAAGGATAACAATGCTATCCAGCATCATAAATCACCAGGCTACAAAGAGAGGTGACGCAACCCTGTGGGACACTCCAACTCTCCAAATTTGATGGGAAATGAGAGATCAGAACTGGAGACCCCTTCTCTGAGCCTAGTAAGGTGGTCCACATCACTTGCTCAGCATTACAGCAGACACTGTAAATGTTCTGCCTTCTCCACTGGACGGGGAGCCCTTGAGAGCAGGAGCTCTGAGATAATGCACACAAAGATCTTTGCGCAGGCCGGGTGCAGTGGCTGATGCCTGTAATCCTAGCACTCTGGGAGGCTGAGGGGGGAGGATCATTTGAGCTCAGGAGTTCAAGACCGGCCTGAGCAAGAATGAGACCCCATCTCTACTAAAAATAGAAAGAAATTAGCTAGGCAACTAAAAATATATAGAAAAAATTAGCCGGGCATGGTGGCACATGCCTGTAGTCCCAGCTGCTTGGGAGGCTGAGGCAGAAGGACTGCTTGAGCCCAGGAGTTTGAGGTTGCTATGAGCTAGGCTGACATCATGGCACTCTAGCCTGGGCAACGGAGTCACACTCTGTCTCAAAAAAAAAAAAAATCTCTTAGTGCAGTGCCTGGCACCCCTTTGGTGGTGGCTATATGGTTAAGTCTCCTTATTCTTTTGAAATCTTGGCAAGAGCTAGCAAGGAACTTTGTACACATGAGGTGTTAAAAACCCATCCATGCAGTCTATGATCAAGAATCCCATGGCACTCCCTGACAGTCTACCACAAAGCAATTTCTTTTTCTTTTTCTCTTTTTCTTAGCACAGTGCTGGGCCCATAAAAGGAGATTATTAATAACGGCTAGTTAAGTGGATAAAAACAGACTAGTTGAATGGATGACCCTTCCAGATGGTAGACTCTCCCCCTTTACAATTGGAAAACATTTGTTGCCCATTCCCGAAGTCTGCCAGCTTGGTCCTTGGATAGGATGTTGAAGAGTTTCTGGGTCAGCACACCTCACAGGCAAGGGCCCCCAGCTGGCCACCCCCAATCCTTAAATGGCAACAAAGCCTGGGGAGCCTGGTAACCGTTTCCGGAGATCATTAAAACATTTCACCTCTTTGGTGACTAAACTTGACAGGTATTCCGAGGGGCCACTGCTTTCCCGCCAGGCCTGCTCCCATCCCCCGCGCCACCGGGGCTGCAGTTCCCTCTAAGATGCCTATCTGCGCGAGCCTGAGTGCTGAGTCGCTGAGCAGCTCGCTCTCCATGTGACTTCAGTTTCCGTCTGTTCCTTCCGCAAGTGCTAAAATAATCTGATGCCCCAGAGAAAGGAGGCAGCCCAGCCCCGCGTTTGGCTGCTCTCGAGGAGGTCAGAGCCCCTGGAGAGGATGCGCCCCACGGAGCCGCCTGGGCCTGCGGGAGCCGTGAGTATTTCCTGCGCGAGGGGCCTCCCCGTGGGCGCAGGGGCCCTTCTCGAGGTGGGCGAGCCGGGGCCAGGTTGGGTGGTAGGAGGTCAGCGACCGTGGTCCATAGCTCCGGGCTGACAGGGGAAGCTGTGGCCTGCTGCATCCAAGCTGTGCCGCCTCCGCGCTGGGTTTGGAGGCCACAGCTCTGGGGACAGGTGGAAATACCTCCCTGTAAGATCACTTAGAGCTGAAAAAGGTGGTGTGGTGTGGTGTAGTGGAAACAACGAGGGCTTCAGAATCAGCCGTGGGTTTGATTCCTGGTTCTGCAGGGAGAATGTGAGCAGTCAGTAAACGTTTCTGAGCCTGGGTTTTTCTCATCTGCAAAATGGGAGCAATAACCCTCCCTCCCTGGGCTGGGTGACTGGATATAATGAGACTACTCTGTGAACACTCACCATGCTGAGCGCTTGGATCTCCTTTCCTGCCTGACAGCATGGATGGAGAATCACTATTTCATAGATGGAGATACTAAGACCTGTTAACAGCAGCTATATTTACGCATATGTTATGGATGTCTTCCACGTGCCAGGGTGTCCAAGGCCCTGGAGACAGCTGTAAGGAAGACATGCAGAGCCCTTTCCCCCACAGAGCATTTGTCCTTGGGAGATTCCCTACGGTTCTGCCACTTGGATCCACAGCTAGTAAGTGTCAAAGGGTGGCTAGAAACTCCGGCCCTTCCGACCCCTTGTCCAGTGCTCTTGCATAGCCCTCATGGCCTCGCCATGTGGGCCAGATTCTGAAAGGGTCAACATATATCCCCACATACCCGGGGGCTGGACAGAAAAAAGCCAGGAGCTTCTGGTGTGGCTCCCTGCTGCCCCCAGGACGGGCTGCGGCTCCACTTCACCCCTGAGAGAAGGGGAACACGTGCCCCGTCGTGGCTGGGACTAGAGGAGGCTGAGGCAGGGTCCTAAGCATGGAGCCTCTGGACGGGGCTGGCCCCAAGGTGTGCGCTTCCAGGGGAGAGAGGGCGCCTCACCAGAGGTTTCTCCCGTGATGGGTACAGCCTGGAGTCTGCATGGTAGAAACAGAGTTTATGGAGCTGGCCCACCACGATTTCCTGCACCCGTTTTACCTACTGGCTGTGACACAGTCTGTTCCCATAGATGTTGCTGGTTTGCTGGACTTTATAGCTCTGAGATTTATTTATTTTCCTCACATATCCCACCGGTTCCTCACACATCTGTAGCCACATGTATGCCTGAGAGTTCCTATAGGAGTTTATAGAATCATGGGCCCAGGAAAAAACAACTCCTGCCTTTAGATTAAAAGAACAAAAACAAAAACCCAGCTTTCATCTAATGGTTGCCCTCATGGAAACTTCATGAAAACCCATATAAACATGATCCCCCATAGTCTGTAAGCCCATCATCCAAGAGCAGGCACTTCCCGGAGAGTAGGCTCCCGTTGTCGCTGTTCTGAGATCTGCGTTAGCAATGCATTGACCTATCTGTCTCTGGTCTTGCTGACTGGTTTGGAAGAGCATCGCTGGTCCTGATCATAGCTGCATCCTGGCTGCAGCGCATCCACGCTGCCACGTGTAAACTAGACTCTTGTACGGACAGCTTATGTGCCTTACGCCATGCTCAGATTGCTTTGTAGCCACATAAGTTAGGGGAGGGTGGGCTTTCAACCATGACTTAAAAACACTATCTTGCTCAGGACATGCTTGTCTATAACATACTTACAGGTGTCTCTGCTCACTGATACTCATTGATGTGTCACTGCACATCAGTGACAAATGTTTATAATTTTTTTTGCCTTTGGTAGAGCTTCTTTATTATACTCATCCCTCCCCCCTACACCATTCTTCTTAACTTTACCATGGAACAAGTATCATGTGCTCCATTTGAGGGGTGCTCTGAGGTAGGTTAGGTAATGATTTCTGAAAGCTCAGAGAAGCGACGAGAAGCAAAAAGGATATTGACGTGTGGATCTTCTACAGCCTCACACACAGCTCTAAGCCTGAGTCCAGGGATCAGATTATTAGGTAGGATTCTTTTAGTTGCAAGTGACAAAACTCAACTCAAATTGGCTTCAGTAAAAAAAGAGGATTTATTATTTCAAATGACTGAAAAGTCTGTGGGCAATAGCTTCAGGCATGGCTGGGTCCAAATGTTCGAGCAGCATTGCCAGGAATCCATCTGCCTCCACCTCAGCTCTGCTTTCCCCTGTGTAGGCGTCACCGTCAGGCAGGTCCTGAGTCGGTGGCAAAGATGGCTGTTGGTGGCACCAGTTTGGCCTCTGAAGCAGAAAGAGAAAGCCTCTTTGCCATTACTTCTAGTAACTATCTTTGCATTGATTCTCATGGGCTTGGCTTCTGGGACATGCCTGTTATAATCCAATCACTGCGGTTAGCGAAATGGGGTGCTCTGATGGGCCCACCCTTATTCACAGGCCCCACCCTGGAACCAGGAGTTGGGATCAGACCCAAAAAAGCATTGACTTTTTAAGAAGGGAAGGGGGTTGGTTGTGCAACAATGTAAATGTATTTAACGCTACTGAACTATACACTTAAAAACAGTTAAGTGTACTGTGAAAACTGTTATGTTACGTGTACTTTAACCACAATTAAAATTTTTTAAAAGAAAGAAAGGGGGTGGTTTTCTCAAAGGGAAATTGAGGAGTTGTTACTAGGAGAAACAAATGTGGGTTGGCAAAACCAGCCAATTTTGAGAGCAAATGGAGTCAGGTGCTGAGACCAACCACGTGTCTTTTCGCACTTTGATGTGTGAGTGACTTCAGAGTCCACAGAGGGACTAAAGGAGGAAGCAGACTCTGCCATGGTTCTCACAGCGAGGTGGGACGAGGAGCAGGGCTGGTACCAGTTATGGGCTCAGTGAGGGTGGCCATAAAGCCCCGTGAGGTCAGGGGACTCCCCTCGTCCAGCCCCACCCCTAAAGCTCCCCTAGGTCAGGTGCTGTGCCATGTGCCCCAAGCAACTTTCTGTGGCCACCTCCAGGAAAGATAAGAATTGGAAGGGGATTTCCCCTCAGGAGATAGCCCTCGGGGCTCTGTCTTTTCACCCTGGCTCTCCTCAAGCAGGACCTAAGTGTCTGAGGCAGCCCGGCACCTACAGTGCTGCCAGGGGCTTATCTTGGGGTACGCATCATGTCCTCCCAATAACTTCATGTCACTCCATTTTGGATGCCAGCCTGGAAACTGACTCCTCCTGACCCCCTGCTGTCACTCACTCCTCTTCCAGTCCAGCCCCCGTCCCTTGGGTCCTCCTGCCTTTCCAGGATCTGCTCTCCATGGTCCCACCGGGAGCCAAGGCTGAGCTGTCTCTCAGCCTACAGGGTCGGTGGGGCATTGGGCTTTCCCTCCCTGGCCCAGGGCCACCTCCTTCAGGTCTCCCTATTACACCCAGCCTGGTACCGAGACCACCTCACAGAACTCCCCAATGGCCTTTCTCTTTTTCTGGGTTATTGGGCCCTGCCTCAGGTCCTTAAACTGAAGCTTTCATTTGGCTTCTTATCTCCTTCTAAATCCCCAGTTTTTTCTGGGGTCCCTAGCTCCCTTTGAAGACGTCTAACAGGCCCACATCTTACCCATTCCCACAGAAGGCCATGGCCCCAGTACATACTCAGAGGTGCTGTTCAGAATATCAAGCAGCACATGGCACAGGCACTGACTAATCAGAATGACATTGTCATTAGAAGCAGGGTTCTAGGGGACTCTTCTGGATCAGGTGTTACCTCTTTGGTTGCTCATGGTGGGGGCCCTGGGAGTACCAAGAGAGGGGCCAGGCAGCTGGGGTGGGGGCTCATGGGATAGCTATTTACCAACAAATACATACCTGTGCACTCCAGGTGACCACTCACCTGACACACACTTCTCCCAGGCAGGTGAACATCCAGCACCTCCTACCTAGGCCTGAACTCAGTTCTGGTTTTGTTTCACTGAATATGAGCTATGTGACTTGAGCAATTCACTTTGGCCTTTTCGAGTCTTGGATTTCTTATCTGTAAAATGGAAATTATAAGCAAGGACTTGAACAGATACTGGCACACTGAGGCTCGTAGCATTATTCACAATAGGTGAATTCATAGAGAAAGAAAGAACAGTGGTCACCAGAGGGGCTGGGGAGGAGGGGGAATGGCAGTTATTGTTTAAGGTATAGAGATTTACTTTCTGTCTTTGGCACAGAAAAGTTGGTTGCACAACAATGTGAATTTACTTAATGTCACTGAATTGCACATTCAAAAAGGGTTACAATGGTAAATTTTATGTATATTTTACCGTGATACAAAATGGAAATAATAATGCCTATTAAATAGAACAATATTAAATGAGATCAAATGTCTGTAAGAAGCCTTTGCAACCCTCAAGTGCTATTATTATTATTGACCAATAGCATTAAGTTATAATCCAATTCTCTTGGCTTCATCCAAGAATTCCATGAAAATCATTTTTATATTTTAGGGAGGGAATTTTATTCCTCTGTGAATTCAAATAAGTTTTAATGAAAAATAAAATCAGCTTAGAACAACTTGCCAGTATTATTTGAGGAATTTTGAAAAGGACAAAATGATCTCCCTCGTAATCTTGAAACTACGCCATGAAAACTTTATTATTTTTCATCATTACATATAAAAATACCCATTAAAGAGCAGTGAAGGTGGGGTTTGGTGGCTCACGCCAGTAACCCCAGCACTTTGGGAAGCCGAGACAGAAGGATCACTTGAGGCCAGGAGTTCAAGACCAGCCTGGCCAACAGACTGAGACCCTCATCTCTACAAAAAAATTTTAAAAATTAGCCAGGCATGCTGGTATGCGCCTGTATTCCTAGCTGTTTAGGAGGCTGAGGTGGGAGGATCGCTTGAGCCGAGGAGTTCAAGGTTGCAATGAGCTATGATTGTGCCATTGCACTCTATCTGGTGTAACAGAGCAAGAACCTGTCTATAAAAAAAAGAAAGAAAAGCAGTGCATTACAGAGGATATCAGTCATTCACACT